TATTTAAATGATAGGAATATCTACAAGGTGATCAGAAGGACTGATGTTAGGGTATATCGTGAAATATCTAACTTTAACTGTCCTGTGAAGAGTTCTAACTTTAACGGGGTATCGATCACAGACTTAGATTGACTTTCATCGATAACATGCTTTAACAACTAACTAACCATCAATGAAATCTTTACTTGTTAAAGGCACTCTTGTACAGCTGATTTGATTCTTGTTAATATGTTTGTTTATTTGTTATTTTTTACAGGTTCTGGAGGGGCAAATTTTACCTAAATGATAAAATTTCAGAAAGATTTTTTTTCAGAAATTAGATATAATTTTCTATATAGGAAATTATGCGTTAACCGATTCTAATTATTTGTTGTTTTTTTTTTTTTTGCTGCACTTGCTGTTTGCATATCATTTACGGAAAGTCTTGATCTAAATATTCCATGGAAATTACAGATATATTTTTAGTTAAATCATATATCTACCATTTGAGATATTTGTACACTATTTTCAAACTACACTATTATGATTGTTAAATCTCTATGCAGTTAGTTGATAGACAATGATATTTTGATTTTGTTATCCTAACTAAATTATAAATCATCAATTACATTTAATGTGGCTTAAGTCGTGAAAAATTATATATTGTCCAAGAAATACAAATGACGATTAACGAATGATTAATTTTATGTGTAAGGGTTTTAGACCCTATATTACTCTAACTGTCCGAGGCTTTGTGATACATTTTCAAAGTAAACTAGCAATCGCATTGTGTTTTGATAAGGCAGTGGCTATTGTTAGGACGAGTCGTAAAAATAGTCTTCAGACTATTGTTACGACGATGCTTTCAGAGCCCTTCATCGGCGAAGTTAAAAACTGAATAGTCGTAAAAATAGTCCTGTGGCTATTGTTACGACCATCGATTTCTATTACTCCTCTGAATCAATGAATTTCAACTTCACTACAGGCCCGGATACAGGGGGCACGTGCCCCCCCCCCCCTTCAACCCATGCCACTAATGCAAACCACTAATGCATGTGGCACTCTGATGATTACCCTTTGCTCCAATGTAGCGCCCCCCCCCCCATCGACAAAGTCCTGGATCCGGGCCTGACTAGGGTTAGGGTTAACCCTAACCCCAAAACTTTGCCGATGGAGGGCTCTGAAAGCATCGTCGTAACAGTAGCCCGACAACTTCCCGCTATGATATACAGGGCAAGGTGCATTCTCTTCACAATTTGGCATCTGATTCTCACACTTAAACGAACTCTTTGTTTAAGAACGTCATAGCAATGGATAATTTCAAATTTTGCAATGTGATATTTTTTAGGAAATGGTAGAAACTTAAAATAACACTTTCTAGAATACTTGATACCATTTTTATCAGTTATTTTACATGTTCAGGAAGTAAACAATTTGGTTTACCAAGATATTTCAATTACTACACCATTTCAGTCTAGCTAAAATTACCCAATGTTTTGTCCCGTTTTATCTTTAGGTTGTTTACTTCATTCCTCTTGGCCTTGGTCTAGTGTGGGAGTCATGGTGGCTAAGTGAGTCAGACGCTGACTCGCTCGTGGATTCACCATGTTAGTGGTGCAGGATGGAGGGCCCGACAAGGACAGCTGTCTGGTCGTTCCGATAGGACGAAAACCGGGGTACCGTGTACACATTGACGTGCACGTAAAAGAACCCTTGGTAGTTGGAATTCGATATAAAAGTAGATCGTGGCGCCGCTGTCAAGACAGAATTTCCATCATAGCACACTGTATGGCATATGCCCGTCTTCATTAGCCCAGTCGGAGTAGATTAGCAGGGCGTTAAACCCCGGTTCATTTCATTTGTTGGGTAATGCTCAGATTATGATTGATTGATCTGGATGGCCGACTCCAGATAAACCTACTAACCAAAAGCTGCGATACAGAAATTCCACGAAATCCTTTTAATGGCCTCCATTATCGAAACATCCATGCGATCTAATTATGGCCAAGTGTATTATTGTACCTTGGTTACAGATTCAGAACGCGCTTTATTTAAAAATTTTTAAACTGTAATTGGTTGATACTTGGAATGAAAATGACACCTATTTTTAATTAGATGGAGATTTGTTCTAACTTTCGAACTAAATAAGCACTACTTAGAAAATGTGGCTAGCTTTAATGGTTTAATGGCCATTTCCTTAACCTCTTTACAGTCCTTGTATCCACCAGACTTTAATAGAGTTCTACGTTTCCAAGAACTTCGATAAATAACGTGAACCCCTTTCGATCCTCCTTGAAGAATCAGTCATAAATCTGTGATTTTTAGAAAGATATCTGTACCAAACATTACACGACTAGCTAAGAAGTTACATTTAATACAAATTCTATCACAAAAATGTGTGACCCTTGAAATATATAGTTTGATTAAGCTAGTCTGAAGTGCTGATTAATGGTTCTTTGGTTCATAAATCCAAATTTATTGAGTTAAAGGGATTTTCACATAGTTAAAGTTTCCTTAAATATATATTTCAATAGAACTATTCAGACCCGAAGCTTGTTTATGGTGATTTTCCGGGAAGTAGTCCTCAGTACCAATGGACTAACCAGTCCCGATTTTAAAATGAAGGAAATGTCGAGTAAATTGGTATTCCGGAAGTGTAAGCTTAATCTGTCTTTAGCAGGACACCAATCTCCCAAGCAGAGTTGCCCCCCCCCCGCCCTGCAGTTCACTGGATATCGAGAATGACTGGACCCCAGACCCGCACAACCATTAACAACCAGTTAACACAGATTAGGTTTTTCACGACTAACATACATGAGTGGTATGAAACCACGCGCCATGACAGAACTTATGATCAAAAGTGGACGCGTTAGACCATTCGGCCAACCACCGCACATATCCCTGTCTTACGCCAGTTGGGGAATATCCGCATATCGAAGTTGAGAGAACATCTAAATTACATTTAAGAATAAGATATACACAATACTATCTAATCTCCATTTCGCATTTAAAAAATTTCTTTTGCATTATATTATTGCAATCAACAGATGGTCTACAATAAATTAGTACGACCTACAAGCCGTTATAGTTTTGAAACATAATGCGGTATGAAACAAGTTGGATGTGTTTCAAGCTCTTTTATTTTATCCTATTTTACACATCTCTTTTTACATTTCTAGAAATGTTTATTTAGATGTATATGTGTAATGTAAGTATTTTGATGCGTATTCTTCTCATCTTTTTGTACTCTGGAAATTATCAGGAATCAAGGCCAGATGGTGGGTGTAATCTTATAAATTATCAAAGAAGTCTTGATATATAGTTTTAGGTGCGAAAAGATCTACCGTAATTGATGTTAATAAATAGCCTATAACACGCCTTGGTCTAAAGTATACAAGAATATGATGTATATGATTAATGGCGTTAATGTTAAAACAAGAAACTACTTACAAATCATGACGCGGGTTCAAAATCTCCGATTTATCCATAACATAAATATTACCTATATAACTATAAGAAAGGGAAGACTCTATGTTTAACTGAAAAAGAAAGAAACACACGTTCTGGAATCGAGATGAACACATGCTAAGAGAAATGGCTGAAAAAAGTTCTAAGTCTATCTGTGAAAGACCTGTACAAAGTCGATGGTTTCCATTTATTTTTCTGCATAGTCGACTTCGAGTTGTATACACGCTTTTGCCAATGATGCCGGTCAGGAACAAATGTTCTTCAGCCACCCTAAACAAGTCGTTCACAGTTGACGACTGGCTGGTTCTTTTCTTCATTTTTGGAAACAGGTTTCATTATGGTTAAAAAATCTGACCAATATATTAACAGGAAGGATCTGCTTCAAAACGCCACAGTTTGTCACGGGACGCCAGGAATTTGACACGTTTCTTATCCGCCGTGAAGAGCTTTGGCACCTATCTTGAAGAAACTTTTGTCATTCCTAACTCACTGGCGATAATATGTTCAATCCTCTATCAGACGTGCCTACAACACTGGAATTATGTCGAGTGGCCATCACCATGTCATGCACCCGGGTAATGTTTTCTTGAATGGTTGCTGTTGACGACCTTCCCGAGCGCGGGTCATCGTCAAGGCTTTCTTTGCCACGCTTAAATGCCGCATCCCACTTCTTTACTGTGGAAATGGAAGGGACATCATCCCCTAAAGTGGAGAATATGTCGGAACCTATCTGGGGAGGAGATAGTCCTTTCAGTGGCATGTACTAGATGACTGCCCTATAGCCAGTTTTGTCCATTTCTGGTGATTTGAATGGGTAGGTCTGGTACGAAGACAATAATAACACTATAGTTGCAGTTCTTATGTCTATGATTCTTTCAATGGCTATATTTGTTGGTGGAAAAAGTTTGTTTCAACCCAACTGATCTATACTATTCGGGCTTAGCCTTTTCAGCCAGCCCTCTTAGCACCCATTTTCCAAGATGTATGATAGTCAGTGCTTAAAGGTGACGGAGCCGTCACACTTGTAGCTTACTGGAGCGATGGTTTGGGTCTGGCTTTCTGAACCCCTGGTCAAAGTCGACAACAGAGTCATTAGCCCAGTATGACTTAAATGAAAAAAGTACAACAAAGCTGTGTTGGCTATGAACACACGAAATAAACGAGAAGTGACACTTGGTGCTCTATAGAAAACGTCCAAGGATGCCCCCGACTTTAATTGAACATTTATTTTAGCCCACATAGTCAAATTAAAGATCGCGTGTTACCTATGTCAACTCTTCATATAAATAAAAGGCAGTACCATGTGTTCTAAAAGGAATAAGCATACACGTATACTGAAAATTTATAGAATGATCTTAGAATTATGATTACGATATTACATTCATACTGTGTGAAATAAAGATTTTTTTTATTACGCTATGAAAAACCATTTCTTGATAATAACCAACTGTATCTATTTGACTCGATACATAGCATCTGTTTTCTATGGTATTTATTTGTCGTAACTCTATAGAGCGGCTCGTTATCGCTTCATTACTTCATTGAGAACACGGTCTGACTGTAACTACAATTAGCGGGAGTTCAAAATCATAGCCACGGCTTACAAGCAGTCGCAGCAAGAAGCATCAGTCGATCGAACAAACGCCGGCTAAGATACAATCAAAGCCTCTTGCTACAGTATTGACTAGCAAACTTCAACAACTAAACTCAAATCAGTCGGAATTTCTACCCGTTCAACTTGTCTTTAATCTTGGTGATCGTAAGTACTAAAAGTTTCTTTCTTAGTTTCTTTGTTGTGTCATCTGAACGACAAAACATTTTACTGCAGCTGTTGGTGGTTAATTAAGAAATAGTATCTGCTTTTTTCTTGTTTTTTATTTTTAAAAAATCACAACTATTTCCGTTTTAATACCTTTTAATCTTTGACAACAGACTTTAACCCGAAATTAATCTTCTGTTATGTAATCATTTTTAGATATATATTATTCCTGAATTTTACCAAAACCAAGAAACAGAAGGTGTCCCCTGTTCAATTTTTCAATCATATTTCACTTGAAAAGTTATTTGATGGTAATAAAAAATGATGAGATCGAATCACATCGTGTTTAAAATTCTGTTTCAGATAAAAGTTATTAAATCGTTTTTTGATAACATTAAATATTTTGTGCTATTAGGAACAAGCCCGAATATCAAATTCATGCAAATTATTGTAGTGCATTTTTGTATGACTTTTAAAATGTAAAAATGTTAATTAAATCAAATACGTTGTTTTCTGTTTATCTACTTCTCTGATGTAAATTAAGTAACTCTATATTGTATCTTTTCTCTGATTTGAATTATTAAATTACTAACTCATTTAATCTTCAACCGACAATCCAAATATTTCACTCCCCCGCACCGAAGTAACAGTATGACCTGGGATTTTATTTTTAAAGTGAGATCAGCTGGAAATTGGTTCTAGATCATATATTATCACACTATTTTAAAACATTTATTTTATTTTATCAAATTCTAAGACATATTTTAAGATATATATGTTTTTAATATCACGATTCCCTTTGCATTGATTACAAAATGACGTCAATCCTGTAGTGTCACTTTTAGTATTACAGCCTCACTTTTAAAGGAGCAGTTCTGAATTTTGTGAACTTGGGATATTTCACTTTTGATTTTAGTCTCTAAGCTACAATAAAATAAGGGGGGTTGGATGGCTGAATGGTTAGCGTGCGCGCGCTGTATCATAAAGTCTGTCATTGAGTCGACTGGCGTGGTTTCGAATCCCCGGTTGTACGTGACAAGGAGTAGGGTCGCCTGTCCAACCTCGTGGGTTTTCTCCGGGTCCTCCGATTTCCTCCCACTGCTAAAGACCCCTATGCGCAAGCGAATTATGTAAATAAAATTAAACCATATGTTAGTCCCGAAATGACCTAGTTTGTGTCGAGTGGACGTTAAACCCCATTTCTCCCTCTCCCTCTACAATAAAATAATAATAATAACTATATTGACTTACCGGATAAATATAGTTTCAAACTATTACTAAAGGTTACCGACAGAATAATTAAAACAAAACTTGCTTGGATTATAGTTTACTCTCTAACTTTTAAAGTTACCATGATTATTTCAAGGCTTAAGAAATGCTCCCATTAAAAAATATCCCATCAATTTGTGAGGATAGGCTTTGGTTGGAATTAAGATTATAAACATTATAAAGCATTATGTAGGTTCAAGAGTTTTATTGAGAATTCGTTCGTACGTACGTTTCAGAAGTTTTACGTCCACTTCAAGAAAGGGTGATGTTTCATTCTGTTATGTTTATTATTATTGAACTTATACTTGGCAATTTAATATTGAGAATCAAATTGCCAAGTATAAGTTCAATAATAATAAACATAACAGAATGAAACATTTCAGACAAAGAACGAATAGTAATAATAATAACCAAAGTCAAACATATAGATGTTATACAAATTTGAAACATACTACATATTTTGATAATAAAATTAAATATAAATGAATTAGAAATATATACATTATTTACATAAATCATTCTGTATATGGTCATGAATAGGGTTACCATAGTAAGACTGGATTGTAAACTGTTTTTTAATTGGCTCGTAGACTTTAGCTACAATCAAGGCCAGGACAGATAATTTGAAATAGTGGAAACCCTATGGATTAACCCAGAGGTTAGTGGAGTAGAAGGGAATGAGACCACTGGGGATACCGAGGATGATATTTCACGTGAATATGGCATAACAAAATACAGACAGAACAGACACTACAACAAACTAACATTACACTGCACGGTTCACAATTCCAGATGTTAAAAAAATCAAAAGGTTTCAGGCAAGTGAACCTACTACATAAACCAATACAGCCAATTAAAGAGGTAATGCCGCAGAGGGCCCAAAGAGCATTTTCCTTAACTAGATTAAATAAAATTGGAGAGTGAAATATGTTCTTTAGATATTAGACATTAAAATATTGTGTAAGTTCCTTCGTGGCCTCGATGTATGTGGATACAAATGAGTAACCGTTCAGACAACTGCAAATTGTAAGAAACTAACTTTAATTAGGATTGTTCTATATTTTAAAATGTATAGTATGGAGGTCAATAGTTGCTGTGTATTCTGGAATATTGGGCCTTTAATGGAATTGAACTGAATGTAACACTGTCTTTTACATCCAACGACAGGCCCGTGGAATGTTGCTAACTATACACTGTATTTTTATTTTGACTTGCCAGGAGATATCGCTTTAAACAGGCTCGCATCTTAAGACAACATTCATGTATTTTGACTCTTCTCTGGTTTGTTATCATGACTTTCTTTAATATCTGCTTTATCTCGCCATTTCCAAATTATACATTCGGTGTAAATTGATCGTGTCGGATGTCGACAAGACTGGAAATATTTTATAATATTATGGAAAATCTTCCTTGCAACTGATAATATTCTTATTAAAGGTACGCGTTTACGTTTTAAAAAATTCCAAGATTTTACGTCATACGCCATTAAAGTTAGTAGAGCCCCAAATATATACTGACGAAAAGTCGCAAATCTTATTGTTTAATTTCCCCGCAGTAATTAAATCTTTGGATAATCAAATAATTTTATTTGGTCGTTGTGCTGATGTCAATACTTCTTGGCGTGCCATGCACGGAACTGTGGGTAAACCACTAAAAACGTCAATGCTGATTGATTAATCAATGTCTGACGTCATAGGCCAAAAACCGCCAGACGCGACCTTCCAATACGACTGGTCTGATCTTCATGCAGTGTATGCCATCGAATGTATAAAAAAACGAAACGAAATATAGATGTGTATTTTAATCAGATTGATGTCAATACTATATTAGGGAACATGCACCAAAACCTAATTTTAATCGTTAAAAAGCATTATGCAAGATTTCGATAAAGAGCTGACAGTTGTCGCTATAATAGTTAAAAGAAGATAATGGAAAGGGAATATTTAAAATTTTCAGTCAAAATAGTTTATTCTGAACGAAGTTAAGGCCGTTTGAAGAATAATGTAGTCTCGATTGTCATTACTAACGTTGTTACAATAATGAATAAAGTCTCTATTATCCATTTTTAATTAAATTATTAACTGACGATCGTTTTTAAATCACAACCATCTGATGGTGTAGAGAGTTGAGTACGGTTGGCATGTGAATAAATGTCTAATTAATGATTTATAATAGCATTTGAGATCAAACAAGATATCTACAATAGGAAGATTTAGCTCTTACATAATGCATCTTTAAATTATGTACCTTTAAATGATACCAGAATAACCCATTATGTAAGATAAAACTCTATGTATAAACATTAAAGGACATGAACAAAGTTTAATTTAAATACCTTTAAGAATTCTTTCATCACGACATGGTCAATTTTAACATGGCAATCGAAATCGTACTATTAGACGAGCTAAAAAAATAATTCAAATTGCATCTTTATTATTGTAAACAGATTACCAGCCCTGTGTCCTGGATTTATAAACTTTGTTTATAAAAACAAAACTTATAAAATGTCGAAATAACACGAATTATGGAAACAGTTGCATAACATTGTCGTATTAAACATGATCTTTACGAAACCAATAAGCAACATTTGTGAAACAGCTAGATATCATACATTGTGAAAACAGTTGAACAACATAACTTTGTGAAAACAGCCAGAAGCCATAACTTTGTGAAAACCGTTAAATACCATAACATATGAAAACACTTGGATAATATCATTTACAAAATCATTAATGAAATACATTACTCTATGAAACCGGTAGGAAAACGTATCTTTATGAAAACACATTGCGATTTCTTCTGTAGGAGATGTCTTTTACCGAGTGGGGTTAATTGTCAAGATAATTATATGTTGTAGAATTCCAGGAGATATAATACGAAACTGATTACTGGGAATGGGAAACCGTAACTAGAGAATAACTCTAAGAATACCAACAAGAATTTAGAAGGTAATGACAATACAAACTGTTTTCTTCAACTACAGCATCGTGCATCTATGTGGGTGTATGTATAAAATAGCTTTCATCAACGTCCAATTCCAGAGTTAAGTTATATCGCAGACAGATAGTACCTTTACAATATTGAATTTGTTCATATACCTGCCAATCAATTATTCGCCTTTAGTTTAAATATAGATGAATATTTCTATATTTTGATCACTTTGGGGTGTCATTGTTTTCTCTGTAAACTGAAACATATTTATTTAGTTTAGTTTTATTTCAGCACATCTAAGCATGACTTATTTTTTATACCCTAGTTTTTCTTGGTATAATATTACTTTCAGTGATAGAATATGGATTTGGGACACCTGGGGGGAAATCGTATTGTTACGGTTATTCTATACTCCCAATTGTTACTCTTACTCTTTGCTCCTAGCTGTTATTGTTATTCTGTGGACCCAGCTGTTACTGTTAATCTGTGCCCACAGTTGTTACTGTTAATCTGTGCCAACAGTTGTTACTATTATATGCCCTCAGTTACCACTATTACTCTTGATTTCCCGTTGTTACTGTTATTCTATGCTCACAGTTATAACTGTTACTCTATGCTCAATATTACTCTATGTTCCAATCTGTTACTGATACTCTCTATGCTACAATTGTTACTGTTACTCGATGCCCCCAATTGTTACTGTTACTCTTTTGTGCACCAATTTAAGAGAACGTTCATATTTACTCTGAGCACACTTTTTTTTTACTCTAGTTTCAACTCGGATCTTGACGCCATTCAAC